TTTTTTCTTTTTTTTTTTTTTTTTTTCTTCTGCCAGGTCATTCTGCAAACAGCGAGCAGCCATTGAAAAAGAGTACGGTCAGGTAAGAACTGGTTCTTCATGTACTGCTTTTAGGATATAGATAATCCATAGAGATTTTTATGAAAAGGGACAAAAACTTGAACAAGAGTAGTCCAGAGCCAGTGCACAGTATAGGTTTTCTAAATAAAGTCAAGTTGAAAGTCCACTACACTTCATTTCAGGCTAGCGGAAATGTTTGTGAGTTGAATGGCCCTCTGCCTTGTATATTCCGGGGTCTCCAGCAGCAAGTGCTTGAGAGATGAAAGAAGCCAGCGGTAAAACCTGGGAGGGAGAGAGGGGGATGCAGCCCTGACAAGCCCACCCGAGACCCCTGCAGAGCCCACCATAGAGAGTATCAGATGGGCTGTGCAGCATCTATGGTGGGCTCTGCAGGGTCACGCTCACGTGGGTCCTGTATCCAGCGCGTCACTAAGCCTCGCGTTCATCCAGCGCATCACTAAGTCCTGCCCCCAGCGGGTGACTAAGCCCAAAATCCAATTCATATACTGTTCTGAATTGCTGTATAACTGTATTACTTTGATTTGTAGTCCCCCCCCCCCCACAGCTCGTGCCATTCTGCATTAGAGTGTAAGCTCCTCTGTCAGAGACTGATGTGACTGGCTCAGTGTGGTGGGCGGCGGTGCAAGGGGATGGCTTAAAGCCATGTAAGGGGCCCCAAAATTTCTGTTGGCTGCCCTGTTGGCAACACTTTATATTTTCTATAGCGCTCCAGCCAAACATTACTATTTTCTTATTGTGGAGAATTACATTCCTTTCCTGTCCTGCAGACATGACACTGAGGCAAAATTTCAGTGTTCAGAGTTGGTAGTAAAGCAGGTGATGTATTGGGATATACCCATTCACTGTGTTTGCTGACAAACCATTTTGGATTTCCTCTATCTTTCTTTCTGTTTAGGTGACCTCTGTCACATAAGCTGGAAGCGAGAGGAAATCTTCCCCAATGGGGGCACAAACAATCATAAAACCCTCAGAGTTCTAGCCTGTCCCCTCTCTATCCAAAACCTCGAAACATTTTGACTTTAAAGGAACATGTATAGGGGCTGCCATTTCTGGCCTACATCTGACAATCATGCTGACACATTGGCTTCAATACTTTCCAAGTGACTGGCCTGAAAAAAATGTGGAGATATGGAACACGGACACTTTTCTGACACTCATTTTATAGCATGCATGTTATAGATAAGCAACTCAAAATATTGAAGTAAGACATAGTCAGACAAAGACTTTCAATTAGTTTTCAATAAAAACTGTTTTTATGCAAGGCAACCCGTCTTTGGAAATAGAACACCTAGCCAAGCAACTATCATTTTCAGAAGACAGACACCAGTGGGAGCCCACATACTTCTCTAATGACCCTTTTAACCCTACAGTGTATAGTGAAATAACCTCCCAACCGGTTTCAGTAAAATCAAATATGTTCCTTTACAACACCTGACCTTTTTCTGTAATTAATAATCGAGCCTGCCAGCTTTTACTTTAACACTAGCAGGAACTGAACTATAAATCATGGTGCTCCTTATTAATACTTTTATATAAAGTCCTGTAGGTCTCCAGCCCCGGTATGAGGCTGTCCAATACATAGGTCCTAAGTCTTCCTGAAATAAGTAACCATATATTTTGCTTATTGCTCTTGTGGCTTTCTGATACATTTGGCTTAACTGTATTTGTATTTTTATCTTTCAAAGTATTTTATTAATTTTTCCAGAATATAATAAAACAATAAGATAGCACATGATGCACAAACAGTATAGCATACAATTGCATTTCAGAGTCTTCCACATTAGCATAGTCAAGTAGTAAGAGGGGATCACTAGAAACCATACACACAATGCATAATAATTCTGTGAAACAGAACATATCTATCCACCTACTCTTGCCAAATTATCCCCCATCAGCAAAAACAAAATCAAGACAGTCTGAGAGGAATATCAGGCATATGGATCCACCTGTGTCTGAAGCAAACATTTGTTATGATCTCCTCCATATCTATATAGATAGACTTTCTGTCAAACATCAATGTACTAAACAGCTCACGTGTGCAAGCCTAAAGAAGAAAGAAACAGACAAAAAGAAGAGGAAAAGGAAATGGATACTAAAAGAAGCTGAACAGCTTAAGAGTCCGAAAAGAGTAGATCCATCCCCGACCAAATAGCCTAACATCTATTTAAACATTAAACATAGTACCCAGAGAAAAAAATACCAGAAAAATTGTACAATGGAAATTACCCGTTTCCAGCACCCCTGTATATAACATCCAGGGGGTCCAGGTCAATTCAAAGCATTTTTTAGTATCTTGGAGGATGCTGTGAAGTTTCTCATGGACCAGCTTCTATTAGCTTCTATCAGTGAAATATTAAGTAAACCAGATGACACACGGGAACAACATTGATGCCAGACATCCAGTGGAATAACCGTTTCCAGGTCTTGTTCCCAAGCTAACATATAGGGTAATTTACTTTCAGTCTGTTTTGTATTTTTACGATCCCAAACACAAAACTAGCTGCTTAGTGCCTGCATCTTTGTGAACCATGTTCATGATGGCCTTCCCTCTGCTACAGAACTCCATTCTAGTAGCACCACCTGCTGTGGTTAGAGGTCTTATACTGCAGTGTTAACAAAGGATTTTAATTTTTTTTATTTTTTTTCATCAGCTTGCAAACAGTGTTAATGAACAACTCCAGGCAGCAAGTAAAGTCAGTTATAGTCCGTTATAAATCAGGACAGAGATCTCATCCCGACTTGGTTTACCCTTAAGCTGGCCATATACCTATAGATATCTGCAGATTTTCTATGGTCAGATGGAAAAAGTGCAACAGATTCCTCCATCTACATTAAACTGTGTGGCTGGAGGAATCTCCCACTTGGCCAAGCTTCATTATCTTGCTAGTCGGCCACGCTGGCTCTCAAAATACCTGAACAATCGGATTGGATACAAGATACTGTAGCATGGAGGAATCTGTTGCACTTTTTTTTTTTCTTCCAAGGTTGCAACGCTTGGGCACGATTAAATAATTTGTGCCAAAAAATTACCAGGAAGTGGGAAAAAAAGAAATTGTAAGTAAAATAAAAATGTTTAACTAATGAATGTAAGATTTCATATCCGCATGCAGAGCTGTATGCTGATGTGATTTTTGTTTTATTTATTTATTTTTAGTCAAAGGGGGTGAAGGTCCACTTTAGTAGCTTTGAGTCCCCTAGACCAGGGATGGCCAAACTGCGGCCCACCAGCTGTGGTGGAACTACGAATCCCAAATGCCTGATCCTGGCTCCCACAATGGTCAGTGCTCATGTCTGTCCCCTTGGTGTTCTTGCATCTAATGCAGGTCAACGGACTTGCATAAGATGTGATGTCAGCAGCCCATAGACCACAGGTGCCAAGGGAGAAAGAGGCAGAGAATCAGGTAAGTAATTATGCTTTCAAGCGCCTAGACTAAAATGTGCACTTAACCCCACTGCAATGGTATTTTTTATTTATTTGCCTGGAGTTCCTTTCTAAAGATTAATAAAATCCCCCAAACCTGGTGACCAAATTATACAAATATTGATGTGCAAACAGCTCTCCCATCCCACCCCTTTTCCCCTGTATTGGTAAGAGACAATCTAGAGAACATTTTTTTTATATATACAATTTTTAACTTCATGTCTACCTTAAATATGCATAATTTGCTGAACTACCATGAGAATGGAATTCTGAAACCCTTTGTAGCTGTTTACTTACAAGCACGGCGGTGGTCAAAAAGAAACTAAATACATCTGGCAAATTTTAGCTCTGTGAAATGGCACATAAACATCAGGGGTTTGGACAGAACAAGGGAACCACGCAGGGAATATCACACCAGTCTTGTTTACTCATCAGTCACCATGCAGACAGCTAGGAAGCATGGGGCGGGGGAACCAGTACAAAGCCTGTGTGGTGACATTAGCAAACTGCTTACCATGCACATCAACATTCACTTTAACATCTGATCCATTTAAAAAGACACAGTAAAACTGCTTTAAAGCTCAATAAAATGACTAATAATGTTATATTAGCCCAGTCTCCGTGTGTGGATCATTTCCACAGGAAATATAAAACTGCCTTTTATTATTTACTCATATTTTTACCTAAAAGAATCCTCTATTTAAACATTGTGGTTTTTCTACTTGTATCCTAGCAATGAATCTTTGGCCTGTGTCCTTTTTTGTCTTTCGGTATGCCATGAAAATTGATTGTTGAATGAAAAACAATTAAATTTAAACTCGGGCCACAACTTATTTTTCTAGTTGTAGGGAAGCCATTGTTCAGCATTCCAGCTTTTGAACTACCCAGCTTTTGAAGTCTCATAAGGCATTGCAAGACTCTGAGCTGAAGTTTGGCTACTCCTGAAGGATAGATTGGGGAAGGCTTAGAACATCTGTCAGGTTTATGTTGCTATCTGTGTCTCCCTATGGGCCCATTCACACCAGTGTGTTGTGTTGAATGGCACCCTAAAAGCATCTCCCGCCCGCAATGCAATTTTTCGTGCAGTACCGCAATTTCATGTGATGCGGTCACAAAAAGTGCTTGCACTAATTTTTTGTATCGCATTGTATTGTGATTCCGTGCGTTGTGGCGGCTGGGAGACGCGTTTGGGGTTCCATTCAAGTGATAACGAAATTCCCCTCCCTCATTGTTAATGTACAGTAGGTGTGTTGTGCAGTGAGTTAATCGCATGGGGCTGTGCGATTAATGCATCACACTGGTCTCTAACTCGTCCCTACATGTGTTACAAAAACCACTGAAAGATTGTGATAAAGATAATTTAAACTAGAGAAAGCATACAATTTGATCAAGCAGTGGCTTTAGGCCTTTAGCTGGCCTCCTATTAGAATTTAGGACGATTCTTGTGAATTGGCTGAAATTATAACAGTGGGTGGCCCTGCCAGCACCATCCGGATTGAACAAGAAAAATGTCAGTGTATGACAAGTTTAACTCTAGCCACTTAGAGCTGTCTGGTTTTTATTATTGCTTCCCTATAGGGCTATATTGTTGCTTCCCAATTTCCCCAGTGGGGCCACAGGAGTGAACTCATCCCTTCCCTATCCAAAACTAAAAATAATTGGGTGAACTTGGGCTTCTCTGTTAGAGATGAAAGCAGGGAAAAGCCCAGGCCTCTAAAATTAATGACAAACTATGAGGTAACTTTGACCATGAGTAAATTCATTCTTTAGTAAATACTGAATATGTAATTTTACCATTGCAACTCCAAAATTGTGAAATAAAAAGGGTGTATATTTGCAATGAAAATTATTTCCAGTATAGCCTATAGAAGAACTAAAGCTTTCTGGGTGTTCTTTTAGTTATTATTTTGGTGGGTGTATTTGGATGGGCAGGTAGAGGAAAAGAAAATAATTACCTTGTGTGTATTGCTCATCCCTTATGGCCTGCAATGTCTTTGCATGGATATCCTTTAAAGGCAAGTGTTCCTTAAATGGAGGACCACGGTCCGGACACTGACCGAGTGGCGCTTTCTGTCCGGACCGCAATTTCCAACCTGCACTGGGATATGGCTTGATAACAGTGAATACACTGGTGCACCTGCTTCCAGCCAGAACCCAGCGCATGCCCCCCCCGCTTCAGTCATTGGGTACTAGATCTTCTGTTGCCCTAACAACCAATGACATCAGGCAGGGCCGGCCGCTACAATAACAAGTGATCTGGGTGGCTGCATAGCTAGTACTAGTCTGCTATTGTGCCTAAGGTAAGGTTTTATGTCTGCAAGTACTTATGTTAGGCTTCAGATTGGTCCCTGCACAGCTTTTAGGATTATAGGCTTGGCTCTGTCATGACTTGCCTTCTAATCAGGATTAAAGCAGAACCTCATCCAAAAATAACAAGATAAAAATGAATAGCCCTTTAAAATATTTAAAAAAAAACACCTTTTTCTGCAAAATTCACCTTCAATACTTTGGTTTGCCCAAAGTACTCCTTTTTTTTTGCCTCAGTCTGATGACCAACATCATTCAGCCCACTTACTTTAAACTCGGGTCATCCTGGATCCACCCCCAGCCTGAGACACACAGCCTGTATAAATCAATAGCTGTATGGGTATTTACAGAAATCCCACAGTTTACATGCGTAACGGGTCTTTATGCACTGCACTGAAGGTAGGAAATACACCACGATGCGCGCTGCACGGCTCTCCTTCAGCTGTGTGCAAGAGCCCTCAGTGTTCAGTGTTGGGAGCAATTTCAGCAGATCCATAGACTCCTAAATCAGAAAGTTGCTAACAAGCCAGTTGTGCAATTTTTTAAAATAATATACGAGCTAGCTAGAAAAGCTTAATATTGAAGGTCATAATTTTCCTTACCAGTGTATTAGTATACATGCATGTTTTTCTTCTGCATCCCAATGTATAGTATGAGTATACAAGGGAATAAAATGTGCTTGAGTCTGCATTCATTTTAGTGTGAGCTTTTGCTAAGAGCATGTCATTCTGCTGAATACACCTTTTTCTGACTAAGTTTATGGTAAGATTTAGCACTCTGGTACATCCAGCTGCTTTTCACTTCAGTTTGTAAATCGAAATTGTACTAGCTCAACTGCATACAGTTGTGCTCAAATGTTTACATACCACTGGCAGAATTTTAGTAAAACGTTACTCTTTGATTGCTGCACCTAGCCACAGAACAGTCCACTAACTACACCAAACGGCACCTAGAGAAGCCTCAAAGCTCCTGAAACAAAGACCAATGTTGGAGTGATAAAACCAATATTAAACTTTTATGGCCACAACCATAAACATTGCAATTAGAGAGGAATCACCAAGGCCTATCAAGAACTATTATTAACCATCCCTACTGTGAAGCATGGAGTTGGATATCTGCTGTTTTGAGGGTTTGTAAGCTACAACGGCACGGGTAATGTAATTTAAAATTGATGGCAAGATGAATGCAGCAGATTATCAGAAATTAATGGCCAAACATTTGTATGAATCAGCTCATAAGCTGTGCATGGGGAGCCCTTGGACATTCCAACATGGCAGTGGTTTGTATATTGATTGTACTATTTTGTGATGCCTAAAAATGTAACTTGTGAATCGCATGAAAAATAAAAGAAATGTGTTTGCTCTGATTACTGATGTTGCCAACATCTTACAAATTCTGTCAAGGCTAATGTACAAGGACGACTCTATAAATTAATAGATGGCTATAAGTAATCTTTTCACAAATCTGGGCAATTGACAATAAGCATGTTATAGAATAACCCATAATCAGAGGTTAACTTCGGTGAAGACAACATGTCAAAATGATTGCGATCCAGAGATATTGGAAGTTAAAATTATAAAGAAAATACTACTTTCAAGCCTCCCTATTGGTCCTTGAAGCTGCCAAGCCCCTACATGGACCTGTAGGGGAGCTTGGAATCTGAGGTTGGATTCTGTCTAGAGCTCTAAATCTGAATTGATTGGACAGGTGGCTTTAGCTTGGTTACCTCTGCTTATGAGCGGTTTTCTTAACATTTTATAGTTTTACACCTGAAAGACTGTTGAAGCCACAGAGACCCCATTAACTGGAAGTGAAAGATCTCTTTTGACATTGGGATTTTGTTCTGTGGTCAGTTTAGAGACGCATGCTTATCAGAGTCCATCTGGGGTGGCTTCCAGAAGCATGTGACTTCCAGATGCAAATTAATTAGTTTTTTCTTTATTGATGACGGCCCAGCGAATTAAGATCTGCTGAAACATGAACTGATACAAATCTGATACAAATAATTAGCTGAGCAGGTACGAGTCAGTTCTGTATTCCTGTAGATGAATATATACATTGTTTATGTGTAAAAATAAACTCCAGATGTCAGAATAAACCATGCAGTTGGCCATCGGAAGGCCTGCCGCTTTTCTTGATTCCGAAAAAAAGGATTTCCAGAGCATCTTGCTGTTCTGACTGCTGAAGTAGAACGGTCTGGCTCAGAGGTTGTCCTGCAACAATGATTTCAAATGTGCTTGAGCTTGTTTTTGAGATGTAGATTAGGCCATTTCCAGCCATTAGTGTTTTTGTTCTGCTAAGATGCATAGACATAGTTTTGCAGGTCATGGGTTGCTTGTGTTCCTGTGTGAACTATGTTACTGGCAGTCGATACATCCCGTCTGGATTGAACCAATATTTGTATGACCAGTGCTGACCTCTGAGGCTGCTGGCACAGATCGGATGTGTAATGGAATGTGTATGCCTTGTGTGTGAGTGCAGAATGTGGCAGACCAGTGTTAGACCAGTGTGTTCCAGTAAATATCAGGAGTAGACAGAGGCTGTCTGTAAACATAATTTTTTTTCTGACCTTTTAGGCTCTCCAGAGACTGGCAAGTCAGTACCTTAAGAGAGACTGGCATCGTGGGAAGAATGAAACCCAAGAATGCAGGTAGGTGGGCTAGCTGTAAATTCTCTAAAGCCTTAGACTCTGGCCTAACAGTGCTGTTTAAGAAATGTTCAGCCAATATTGATTAGAAGCACATAAGAGTAAACACAATTTTAACACTCCATACCGCCACACTTTTTATTTATTATTATACAGGCTTTATATAGCGCTAACAGTTTGCACATCACTTTACAATGTAAGGAAGACATTACAATACAGTTTAAGACGAGATGGTAAGGAGGGCCCTGCCCGTGAGGGCTTACAATCTAAAAGGAAGGGGCAAGTGATGCACTTTGGCTCCTTCAAATAAAAGAACCCATTTCAATTCAGTTATGTATAGGGTTTATGACTGCTATAGAGAAAACACACTCCCAGTTTGGCAAATGCATGGAAAAAGGTATAGGTGATGAATGGGGTAACTCAGGAACCAGAGTTATCCTGGTACTGCCTATTAGCAGTATGCCATGACTAACATTTTTTTGAAAGAACAAGTTTGGTTAAAGAAAAAAAATCTAGGTTACCCTCTCTAGCCCCCTAACATAATCTAACCTAGAACCCCCTTTCTCCTCCCCACACAGGTTCTTTTTCTCTTCATAACATTGGGGCCCTCCATTGTTTACATACTCAGAAGCAGACAACACTGGAGATGATTTCTCGCCTATTTAGTACCTGCCCACAGACTTGAAGAGGGCTATAACAGGAGGTTAGAGAAGGTGGGCTTTTTTGTGAGTATGTACTTTTATTGTATTTTAAATAGAGACTTGGTCTGTTTTAGGTTTAATCTCCTGCACACGATCATTTATTAGAGCATGGGACAGCACTGCACGTTGATCAGGTTTAATTGCATTGCGTAATGACTTGAATCTAACAAATTGAGCTTGTGGATTGGAAGGGAGAGCGTAGAGATGACTATTAGTAAGCTGCTCTTCATTCACTGTTCGATGACGCTTGCTTGTATTACTTTAGTGCAGTGGAAAAGGGTAAATGGTCAGGGCTGTGGTAAGTGAAATGTGTGTCTGGTTTATTGAATCAGGCTGATCTGTTTGGATCGAGTTAGGCCTTACCATAAATGCAGATGCACAATACTTTTTTAGTACTTCAGCATAGTTTGTAGTTTAAATGGCATTTGTGAATCATTTATTTCACCTATCTTGATTGTAAATAGAGAGATGCTCACTTGGCAGAAGACGGTGGCATAATCCCACAGCAAATGGATGCTTTGTACTTTGGCCGACAGATAAATCTGGCAAATGGCATGAATACTGTAATGACAATCCGTCAAAGCACTAGTGATAGCAGCATAGGACATTTTTATTTGTTGTGTAATGAGAAAGAAGAGTACAGAGCTGCTGGTTTCAATTAAGGTTTCGCAAGAGTAATGAATCATGCTTCACAGACTTGAGCTTCTGTGCTTATTGTGATAAATACATAATTCTTTAGAAATGATTATGTTCTTTTGAGGTTATACTGTTTTTATTTAATTTGAAACTAAGTCTCACAGAGCCATAGTAAGAATAGTTTGTCATCCACCTCCCTGACATAATCAAAGTTTACGTGTCATCCACAATGGAAGCAGCCATGTTGTATAGTAACTAGCTGCAAAAGAATGTTGTGCAGCCATCTGGATTTGGAATATATATATATATATATATATAAATATATATATATATA